ACTCGACAAATCCTGCCTTTCCAAACTCAGAAGTCAGGGGAGCTTTTCCCAAGAAAGAGAATGGCGTACACAAATATACAGAAGTTGGAAAGAACACAGTATAAGTAGGGATTTATGAACAACTTTGTAAGGCTACAGGGCAAGGTGAAAACCAGGAAGACACCAGGATATGAGAAATCCTGTATGTCACACTAAAGAACTTGGATTTTGTCCCAATGTCAGTGGTGGGGGAAGGAATGAAAGTATGGCAGCCTGTTTTTCAGAAAGATGATTATGCCAACGGGTGAATTTTAGTGAGAACCAGATTTTAGCTTCTAATCTCACTACTTTGACTATCTTCATTAGTTTCATATCCTCTAATATATTCAAATTCTGCTAGTAATGTCCACTTATAAGCTGTGTGGCCCTCGGAAAGTTATCCATCTATCTCAAGTTCCTTATTTGTAAAAAATTAGCTTAAAACAAGTATAGTTCTCATTATGGTGTTATTATGACAAAGATGTGAAACTTGTAAGTTGTAAGCATATTTAACTAAATACATTAATTGTAAAATAGTTTTTTAATATATAAGAAACATAGGAGATTAAAAGGTTTTTATTTTCTTTTATTTGTAAAATAAAAAAGGACTAGAGGAGTCTAATTAGGAAGTTATTGTTTTCTGTTGAGATAAAAGTGGCAGTAGTGATGGGGAGGAGGTAGCTTCAGAAGTATTTTCTGTGAAGTAAAACCAACAGAGCTTGGTGAGTGTCTAGCCAGAGTGGGGAAGAGCAGTGGTAGAAGGAGCCTGAGATTCCCCAGACAGAGTCGTAGGTTTCTAATCTGGGCAATCCTGGGTGTCATTTAATGAAATCTGAGGTAGAGGAGGAGACAATTTATATAAGCTAGTTCTTTCTATCCTTTCATCAAATATTCTTTAGCCTCTTATATGTACCTGTGTTAGGTAGCACAGAGAATACAAGAGTAAAAAAGATAGATAGGATTCCTGTCTTTCTAAAGTTTAAATTCCAATGACAGAAAAAAATAATCCTAGATAATAAAAGCCTAATATGCAAATTGATCAACAGTGGAACAACCAGCAGAATGACTGGTTGTTATGATGCACGCTGACCACTAGGGGACAGTCACTCAATGCAGGAGCTTCCCCCAGCCCGCAGACTGGACTGGTGGTGGCAGCGGGGGAGGGGCCGGCGAGCGGTCAGTGCCAGGCCAGCCAAGGCGAATGCTAGCGGGGCTCCCCGATCGCCCTGCTGGTCACCCCACAGATCGGCCCTGATCGCCGGTCAGGCCTAGGGACCCTACTCGTGCATGAATTTCGGGCACTGGACCTCTAGTAATTTATATAAACATCTAATTGATGAAACAAACCACTAATTAAATGATATACAATTACAAAATATTTTTATAAAGTAAGTACTATTTAAAATAATGTAAAATATAGGCAATGCCCTAGTCTAGATTATCAGGGAGATTGTGACATTTAAAATAAAACTCTGATGAAGCCAAGGATCAAATGTAAGTGCTTCTTATTGAACAAAAAAAGATCTCTTAAAAATAATAATAATAAAAGTAATGGAAAGCTATTGATGTGTTTAAAGTAGGGAAAAGGTCCAATCCTGTTTGTATATTTAAAGTATCCCTGTTGCAACATTTTATGTGAAATGGATAAAGCAGGGATAACAAATGGGTCTATTTAGAAGGTTTTTGTAATAGTTCAGGCAGGGAAGAGTGGAAGGTTGGACTAGCTTGTTAGTTCCTGAGATGGAAAGAAATAGACAATCTTGAGGACTATTTTATTTTATTTTTTTTAAATCTTTATTGTTGAAAGTTTTATATATGTCCCCCTTTTCTCCCCATTGACCTCTTCTAGCCCACTCTCACCTCCGCCCTCCCCCAGGCCTTCACCATCCTATTGTTTGTGTCCATGCGTTATGCATATATTCACACAGGTTCTTTGGTTGATCTGTTCCCACACATCCACTAAACCACCCCCACCTTCCCTCTGAGATTCCACAGTCTGTTCCATACTTCTATGTCGCTGGATCTATTTTATTCATCAGTTTACTTTATTCATTAAATTCTCATATGAGTGACAGAGAAGCATGGAACATACCGAGGAATTTCAAAGGTGGAAGGTGGGCACTTGCTCTTCATCCTGACCTAGCAGGGAGTGATGGCAGGGCTAAAGGGATCTTAGCCTGTAGTTTTTCTTTCTA